CCCCGCCACTGTCACGCTCACACACACATACATGGGTTGCGTGACTTTGGGCATGTCACCTCCCTTCCTTAGGCTTACTTTTGTCATCTGTCAAACTAGACAATCTCTGAAAGGCTCCTGGATTCCAGACTCTGAGGACACTCCAGCACACTCTGCCCTAGGCTCCTTCAACCCAACCAAAGGACCAGGAGAGAGGAAGAGAGATGGCAGACGTTTGGGATCTTGGAAACATTCTCCCTGGGGCCTGGGGCCTGGCTGTGGGGTGGGACTGAGTGCCACAGAGTCACTGCCCATTCCCGCCTGCCTTACCCCAGGAAACGCCTCCTCACCGCAGTGACCACATCCCCTTTGGTTGCCTTGAAAACACTCCGGGGAGCAGGGGAGTTGGGGTGCCGTTGCCCAGCAACAGGTGGTGCCCTCCCTTCCGCCCTGGCGGAGGCCAGACCTCTCTGTGCCTTTCAGCTGCCTGCCCTGCGCCCTTCCTGCCTGCGCAGAGGAGAGCAGCTCTGGGAGGAAGAGGAGCCCAGGACTGACCCCAGGTGAGATGAGGGGTCCAGGAGGCCCCTGTAGGTGGGAGTCTGGGGACAGAGACAGGTGGGCAAAAACGAGGGAGATAGAGGGGCTAGAGATCAGGCCATGCTGGAAACCTGGGGACAGGTGCAGAGGTGGCGCCTGAGACCTGGCCAGCAGCAGATCTGCAGAGCCTAGGAGAGCAAGATCAAGCCCGAGGAGAGTGGCGGGAGGCAAAGGAGCCTCCAGGGGCCAGCGAGGGGGCGGCAGCGAGCACACAGGAGGGAGGAGGATGGAAGGGAGCGTCTCATTGCCTCACCCACCACTTCCTCTCCAGGCTGAGCAAGACCTCCAAGCCGGGGACAGAAGCCCTCAGGGCCCTTAACTTCTTGTCTGAGGCACCCTGGGGTCTGGGAGGGAACGGGGCTTCTGGAACGGGCTGGAGAGCCGGGCAAGGTAGGCTCTGCTGTTCTCTGGCCACACCTGGCCGCTCTTGCCCTTCCTGGGTCCCCTTTGGTCTTGGGTCCCCTTTGCTCCTGTCCCCCAAGCCTGATACAGAGTCCTGCTAGCCTTTGGCTCTCACGCGTGCTCTTGGACACTTGCCGCTTCCTTCCCTCCCTCTCCATCGCGTCCCCTCCCCTCACTGGCCTCCTCTCCCCGCCCTGTGTCTCCCAGATGCCTGCGACCCCGGAGCAGCCGATTGGGCATGCGGAGGACCCCCCAGCGTCGGAAGCGGGCCCGTGGCCCCCGCTGCCCTGCGGGCCCTGCGTCCCCATCATGCTGGGCCTGGCCTCGCTGGCCGCGCTCTTCTTGGTGACCACAGCCGTGCTGGCGGAGCGCCTGTTCCGCCGCGCGCTCCGCCCGGACCCCGGCCGCGGCGCGCCCACGCTGGTCTGGCGGCCCGGAGGGGAGCTGTGGATCGAGCCCATGGGCACCCCGCGGGAGCGCTCCGAGGACTGGTACAGCGCCGCCGTGCCCCTGCTGACCGACCGGGCCCTGGACGCCCCCACCCCCGGCGGCACGCTGGAGGACCGAGCCACCGCCCCGCCGGCTCCCTCTGCCCCACACTCCGCTCCCAGCTCCCTGGGCCCCCAGACCCCTCCGGAGGTCCCAGCACGTAGCACCTTCTGGGGGCCCCAGCCCTGGGAAGGGAGGCCCCCAGCCGCGGGCCTGGTGAGCTGGGCGGAGCCCGAGCAGAGGCCAGAGCCCTGCGTGCAGTTTGGGAGCCCCCCGCCCCGGAGGCTACGGCCTGGGAGCCCTGAGCCCGACTGGGGCCTCCAGCCTCGGGTCACCCTGGAGCAGATCTCAGCTTTCTGGAAGCGTGAAGGCCGCACCAGCGTGGGGTTCTGAATCCCAAGGGCCTGGAAGACTGGCCTCCCAGAGACCCCTGAGGAAGGACCTCCCGCAGAGGGACTGTGAGACCCACGGCTCCAGCATCTGGGCCTATGCTGAGGCTGCCCCGGGGAAGACGGCCTTCTTTTAAGTCTGGGTTTCAATTCCCCCGAGTGCGATCGGAGCCATGCGCAGGCTGAGTATGCGCAGAAGGCCGAGTATGCACAGAGCCCCACTGCAGGGCGCTCAACCTGCCTCTGCTCAGCTGCCAGGCTGGAGCTCAGAGAACTGGAGGCTGGGCTGACTCTGGGCCAGAAGCCTCCAAGATCGCATCCGGATTAAGAACTGAAGGTACCAGACAAGCAGGAAACAGCATCAACCCAGCCACTTCCGCCTTCCTACAGTGTTTACCTAAGATGCCAAGATCAGTCTTGCAAACACCTTGGTGTGGTGATGACAAGTGTCAGTCTGTGTTAGCAGGAGATGGCAGGACTTCAGCTTCCCAGAGCCACAGTTCCTATCCCTCCTCAGCCACTCACACCCCCACCCTCAGGTCCTCCAGGAAAATACACAAAGAGAAGACAATCAGGCAAAGGAGCGTTTTATTACAAACGAACTGTGGCCTTGACCCCCAAGTGGCAACCAGGAACTTGCTGAGCCAAGCCGGTGCAGCCCTCTCTTGCCTGGACTTGGGACCTAGGGTCAGAGAAGATCCACAGGCTCCTCTGCCCATCCTCTTGTTAATGGAAAAAAAAGCCAAACTCTGTAAAGTAATTTTAAAGAGATTTACTCTGAGCCAAATTCGAGGACCAAGACCCGGAGCCACGCCCAAGAAGCCTTGAGGAAGTGGTGGCTGGGTTACAGTTTGGTTTTGTAAATTTTAGGGAGACAGGGGTTACAGGTAAAGTCATAAATCAATATGTGGGAGGCCTACATTGATTTGGCCCGAAAAGGTGGGCTATCTCGAAGGGGGGGTCTTACAGGTTACAGGTGGGTTTAAATATTCTTTGACTTGTAATTGGTTAAAGACATGGAGCTTTGTCTAAAGGCTTCCAACGTTTTAACATAAGGAGATGTTTACCAGAGATAAGCCGCTGGACATAGATTTGTCATGTAAAACTGAGGACCTGCAGGTTTGTCTTGCATACCCTTAGGCCTGTTAATGGGTTACAAAAGATGTCTCCAAGAAGGGAGGAGCATGATGAGGCAGGGCTGACCTCCCTCCTCCTGGCAGGCAATTTAGTTTTAGGATATTCCTTTGGCCGCGAGGGGGTTCATTCAGTCAGCCGGTGGTGGGGGTGAGCCTTAAAATTTTATTTTAGTTCACACTCTATAGCTGCACACGTCTCAGCCCTCCCAGTCTTACCACTGCATGGCTAGGAAAGCCGGGGCCAAGGAGACCCGAGTCTGATCCAGTGTAGAAAGGAGCATTGTCCCAGAGCAAGGCAGCTCCCACAGTGTAGCCTCCAGCCATCTTCCCTTTCAGCTTGCTGGAGTGGTCCAGAGAGACACATTTGCCATAAGACAGATTTACTTACAGGGCTGGGAGCGGTGGCTCATGGATATAATCCCAGCACTTTGGGAGGCTAAGGTGGGAGGACTGCTTGAGATGAAGAGTTCAAGACCAGCCTGGGCAACATAGTGAGACCCTATCTCTACAAAAAATTTAAAAATTAGCCAGGTGTGGTGGCACATGCCTGTAGTCCTAACTACTTGGGAGGCTGAAGTGAGAGGATCCCTTGGGCCCAGGAGTCCAAGGTTCTAGTGAGCTATGATTGTGCCACTGCACTCCAGCC